GAAAGAGTTTACAGCAGAGACAGTTTACACCAGACAGCGTTTACACCAGACACCGTATACACCAGACGTCGTTTACACCAGACAAAGCCAACAAAGGTTTACTCCAGAAAAAGTTTACACCATAGACAGTTTACACCAGACAGCGTTTACACCAGACACCGTTTACACCAGACATGGTTTACACCAGACATGGTGGAAACCATTGCAGCAGCAATTATAAGGCGATTAGCAACAAAAGATTGCAAAACACCACGTAACTACGCACTGAACGATGACACAGGAACACCTTCGAGCCAGAACTATAAGGCGAATAGCAACCAAAGCGTGTAAAACACCATGTAACTACGCACCGAACGATGACACAGGAACACCTTCGAGCCAGAACTATAAGGCGATTAGCAACCAAAGATTGCAAAACACCATGTAACTGCGCACCGCAAGCACAGAGAATAGCCTCCCAAAACCGGATGGATCTCGACGTCCAAGCTCCAAAAATTGCGATTTCGAAGCGTTTTTTAAAAGAGATTTATAAGAAAAATGAAAGCGGCAAAACTTGGAAAAAAGTACGTTGGAAACCATTGCAGTAGCAATTATAAGGCGATTAGCAACCAAAGCTTGCAAAACACCACGTAACTGCGCACCAAACGATGACACAGGAACACCTTCGAGCCAGAACTATAAGGCGATTAGCAACCAAAGCTTGCAAAACACAATGTAACTACGCTCCGAGCGATGACACAGGAACACCTTCGAGCCAGAATTACAATGGGGGAACGCTCCGGGCACAGACCGGGCACAGACCTTGGAATCGCATTTCCCAATGAGTATGCGGTCCGGACCGCACATTGGCGACATCCTTGTGACCAGAATTATAATGGTGCGCCCAGCCGCGCTCAGACAAAATGTACGTTTCCCCACACGTTCGTGCACTCGACACGCACGATCTCCGCAGAGGGTTGCTCGAGGGCAAACGCGATTCGCGTCTCACCACACGCGCGCGCGATCGATGGCCACGATTCCACGAGAGGGTTGCGTTTCGTAAGACCTGCTCGCACCGCCCCGCCGCCTAAAGAGAAGAATAAAGAAGAAGTTGGGTAGGTGAAGTTGGGTAGGTGTCTTAAGGAAGATGTCTACACCTACCTATCTTCACCTACCTATCTTCACCTACCTATCTACACCTACCTACCTACACCTACCTGTCTATACCCACTTATCAATACCTACCTATCAATATCTACTTCTGATGTACTTTGATATTGTTGATCTGATACTTCTACTTCATATGTTATGTTGTGATGTGATATTATTTTATCACATGATATGAGATGATATGATCTGACATTGATGTGATGTGATATGATATTAAAACATGATATGATATGATGTGTTATGACATTGATGTGATGTGATATGATATTATAACCTGATATGATATAATATGATATGATATGAGATTAATAACCTATGAGGTGATGATTAGATGATGATGTTGTGAGGGTGAAGTAGGAGAAAGTTAGTAAAGAATATGAAGTAAGGAAGGTGAAGTAGGATAAAGAGAGTCAGGAAGAGAGAGTGGGGAAGATGAAGTAAGAGAAAGAGAGTAAGGAAGAGAGAGTGGGGAAGATGAAGTAAGAGAAAGAGATTAAGGAAGATGAAATAGGCAGCAGTGCTTAAGGAAAAACCCTTCGCAGGTGCTTTCGGGAAAAAAGAGAGCGCCTCAAAACAAGGTGGCCTTTCGAAGGGCTGAAGACTCAGGTCTCTGTAAGTCCCGCAGCCCCCCCACTTAAAGCAACGTTGTTTGTCACTGTACACCGGAACAGAACCTTCCACCAAAATTCGAATCTCTTCGTCTTCATCTTTCAAACAGGCTTTCAGGTCGAAAGCCTCGGTTTCGGAGGATGGCACCTCGCTGGCACACGCAGCTGATTCCGCACCGCGTGTCCCATGTCTCGATCTCCTCGTCTTCTTTTCGAACGCAGGGTTCTGCCCTTTGCCACGCCGATGCCAATATCTCAGTTGTCTTTGAAGTGATGTGGACTCTCAAAGCCATTGATCTCCGAATGGATCTCTGCTTCGCTCGCGCATTCCGAAATAGCATCTGCAGAAGGCGCTGACGCGGGAGTGTGAAGACCAATCCTACAAGGCGCGCGCCGATTGGAAAAACCATCACCTCCGCTTTTGGCCGCTATATCGTCCTTCTTCACAAGCAATCTCTGAGCCCGAGCCCGAAAGCACCACAGTTGCAAACCGGCGCTTCAACTCCGGAGCGTCTAGTATCACTATCGCCTTGTCGCATGACCTCTGTGGCTCAGCAACAATTCATACAACCTAAAAAGTGTGTTTTCACTTCTCTTTGTAAGTTAGCAAAGGGCTTGGGCAAACGTCGCACAGTATAGCAAGAAACGAATTAACCAAAGATCGCTCAGCATTCTCGAAGGCTCTGGGCGACAGCTGTGGTAAAGCTTACAAAAAATAACGACGGCAAGCGCTCTGCTTCACAACGCAAAGACTGACCCAGGTACCAAGATACTCTTCGATCTCACCATCTCACGGCCAACAAAACGAAAAATCTGATGATATCCGAATCCAGTCCAGATTCCTTATTCATGTTGTCACAACGTTGTCCATGTGCGTGTGTAAGAATCCTCAACAGTCTGCCAAATTCACAATACTCTTACCGTTTTCCATCTCAACATCTCAAGCATCTGACGATCCCCTCGGGCCCCGAATGCAAAAACTTCCAAATAAACATGCAGTCGGCAACCACCATGCCAAGTTTCCATGCCTCGACAAAAAAAATGACTGACACACCCCGACCACCTGTGCGCACCGACCTGTCTGTGTGCGTGTGTCTCTGTGGCTTCATCACGCACTGAACATGGAACGTCTTTAGCGCCCCACCCAACCCTCCCTCCCCCCAAAACCCCCCACCCACCCCCATCTTCCACAGAGTGTGTGAGTGTGTGCACACCTTCAAAAAATAGTAAAAAACGCAGGGGTCACTAATGACGCCGGTAGCACAAACTACGCATGTCGTCCACACGTACGGTTGTACCCCCCAAAGGACCGTATGAACAATCAGTTTCACTACACGTGCGGCTTTAAGCCCACTAGCTTGATTAAGTTGAGGGCGGGGGAGGCTTCCTTGAAGAAGCGCTCGCACTAATGATTTGGTTCCTAGATGTTTAGGGAAACTTGAGTATACTGAGATAATTTGCATCATAGTAATTGGTGCTTTAACTGTTATCCTCTGCAACACTTGAACTTCCTGGAACCCTTGAACAAGCATGTCCAAAGGCAAGCGTATTTGTATTGGCGCATCAGCAACAAAATTTATGATTCGGTTCAACCTTTCTCTTGATCCTGTCAAGCTTCCTGGTGATGCTTTTCATGGAGGCCATCACTCTTAGGTTGGAGGCCATCGCTAGTAGGTTGGAGGCCATTGCTAGTAGGCCATCGCTTCATACTTTTTCATACTACCCTGTGTAATCTTGCCTGGCACCAACGTCGCTCAATTCACGTACCAGATCTTGAGCCTTCCTTGCGTCAAAACGGCACCACTCGATCACCGTCAACAAATATTTGATTTTACAAATTCCTTGCAGAAATGATCAGAGATTGTTTACCCGTAAAGAATGGAAATTTGGAATCTTGCTGCATCAAAACAAAGGCTCTGGATGTGGATCTTGCAAACATCCTTCAGAAGACTCGTCAGCAAACCGCGGAACGAGAGATCAGTGCACCCATAGCCTGGCACAGAAATAAAACGATGCGAAAGGATGCTCCGGTGCCAGCGCCTTCTCGGAAGCAATGGAGCGGGGGCGCTTCAGAGCCAAATGCAAAGAGGGTCGGAGAGGCAGAGATGGCCAAGGACCGAAACCATGGATCATGGTCCTGTCAACAAACGAATGGATGCAAAACGGTGTGTAGAGAGAGATTTACCAATCTGATGACACATCTGGTGAATGCAATGCTGCGTGGAAACAAGCCTGGCCCTGGAGAGATGCGGATGCAAAGGAAGTCTGAAGATGTTGCAAAGTGGCATTCGCAAAATGACCCAGCAAGACCTCGGAAGGCTAAAAGAATTAAATATACTAGCATAGACCCAAGCAGTTTCAGGATAATGTTGTGTCAATTCCCTTTGATTACAATGTTGGCGGAAACCTCTGTCACATGCGAAACGCTGCATCGCTACATTCGCCACAAGAACACCAACCCGGACAAGGCGATGCAGAAAGGAAAACAGCACACCAGAGCACAAAAAGGGCCTGGACAAGGCGGTGATCAGAGGGCCGACAAGCAGAGCGGCCCGGACAAGGCGGAGAGAGCACCCACGGCACCCGGACAAAGCCTGGAGAAGGCCCAAACAAGGCAGAGAAGTCAAGGCGCACAGGCGCCCAGCGCAGCCAAGCATGGACCTGGACAAGGCCTGAAGCAAGACACACAACCGCAAAGCCTGGACAAGTGAAGAAGAAAAAATCCACAGCGCGGCCAAGCAGGACACACAGACCTGGACAGGGCCCGGACAAGGCGGTGAAGAAAGGGCGGACGGCGCGGCCACGGCTATCATGGCCTGGAGAACCCTAACAGTAAACTGTTTGGGAAAAAAGGAAAGAAAGAAAGAGTAGTTGGAAATTAGAATGCGCATGGTCGATTTGCGAGTTAATTGGGATATTATTGCATGTATATACATTGCGGTCCGTTCGTAAGCATGTTCGTTTCAAAACACATCTCTCTCAAGTTTGCCAGCATGCTCAGTTTGCCAGCATGAAAAGTGACAGAAAAGTGAACAACCACCGAGATCTTCAGGTTATCGTCACTCCTGTCTAGATTTGCCAGCTTATTGCCACGTGCGACCTTTCTTGTGGTCTTTATATTGGCATTGTTGATGGATGTTGTGATTACACAATGGCAACAGGGGACCAAGTTAGTGAGACACACACCAAGAAAAGGCGGGAAATGTTGGGGAGGGAAGTGCTGTTCGTCTTCACGTAACAAGTGCATCGCTACTAGGAACAAGGGCATCGCTACTGGTAGCTAGAAGCTAGAAGCTAGAGCTAGAAGCTTCCTTGGAAATCGTTTCACTGGGAATCGTTTCACCTGTAGTAACAAGAAGCTTTGAAGCTTCTTAGTAATAAAGCCTAGTAGCCAGAAGTTACTAGTAATAGTAATTACAAATGCTTTCTAAAAACTGTTCGTCTTCACTCAAGTTTCTGCCGTTCTAAGCTAAACACACGAGGTAGCGGCGCAAATGTGTCTGGCAAATCAAAGGCATATCGAGCAATCTCTGCCTGCACCTCATAGAGCAAGGCAGCACCTGGTCACTCTCAGCGACACGCGCAATGAGAAACTTGTAGTGTGTGTGCTTAGCATGCTTCCTTAGTATGTACTCTAGTTACAATTTCGTTTCATCAGCATCTTAATAGAACTCTTCTCAACTGATTCTCAGGCAAGAATCTGCTATCTTACTGTCCATGTATACAAAGTTCGGTAGACAATAGAACAAATTTCACAAATCTCATGAGTCCAAAATGGCATATGTTGTGGCAACAACCTCCCCAAAGCTGCGCATATGTGTGTAGGTGTCCCACCATTGTAATGATGATAGAAAACGCAAAAGCCCTCGTCCATCTCCTGCAAGAGTTTGTTCATGTGCACTCTCACATGCCCACTTCCACACAGCTACGACCATTGTTTTGCAACCTTCACTTCCTCACCACATTGCATTGCAATCAATGCCTCAACTCTACATTGTCATGAATAAACACAACCTTTTTCCCTGACACTGACATGATGACTACATAATACGTCTAGCAGACTAGCACATACACTGTAATGAGTGGGACTTTTTTGCCACGCAAAGCTTATGTGGATGACATAACCGACAAGTCCCTCTAGCGCAACTTCTGACCTGTGACTCACATCCAGAACACTCCGAACACCTGGCCTGCTCTCGTTGCATCATTTTCTCGAAGCAAACTGCTGCAAATGCTGCTGTGTTGTCAGTACCCACGTGTCCTTGGCAAACAGTGGTTCAACTAACAATGCACAACCAATTCCCTTTTGACAATCAAGACTTGTGCAGGCGTTTCCTTGCGCCCTAGCAGTGTTGAGTATGCAGGTACACAAGGATGCCAAACAAGGCCAAACAGCAACAGCAGAGATCAGTGTCGGAGCAAATGTCTGCTGAAGCTGGTGCTTTTCTGCTTGGGTGGGTGAGGCTTGTTGTGGGATTTGCAGGGCAAGGTAGTTGCAGTGGTTCCTACCAGCTGTCGCACAATGTGGCTGGACACTTTTGCCTCTTCGTTCGCCAGGGCTATGAAGAAGCAGGCGTACAGAATATTGGGCGGATTAGATTAGTTTATGCAATTCAACATGAGACGAAGCTAAGAGAGGTAGCTACTAGCTTACTTGAGTTACTACCTAGGACGCAGAATAGCGCAAGCTTCTTCAAGGAAGCGCTCACACTATTAATTTGGCTCCTAGAATTTTAGCGCTCGCACCACGGTTCTTTGGTACCACAGTGGGGTTTTCATCTCTTCCCCACAGAAAGGGGCGGGGAAAGTGCGGAGGGGTGACCAAAAACGGCAGCGGTCACATGACGGCATCGCTACTAGTTACAAGGGCATCGCTGCTAGTCTAGCTACTAGTAGCCACGAGGGCAAACGACTGAAGTGAGCGAATTGCTGGCTTATCGAGCGAATTTTCACGCAAGTACCTTAAGCCCAGTTTGATGTGAAAAAGAGCAGTGTGTAAGAAAATAACAATACCGAAATGGGGCCCACAAAGAAAAGCAGGGGATGAGGCAGTGGCGGCGTTAGTTACAGAGAAAGTCTGCCTGAGAGCGGACAAAGTGAAGTGAACGAATGCTGCTTTTTCTGCTGCAAGCACGAAGTACCTTGAGCATAAGATCGAAAAATGTGCATGACAATGAAGCCTACATGATGTGCATTCAGTAACCATTGCAAAAAGTGTTTGCAAATGAGAAAAAGGTCGTCCATCTTCAGGCGCGGAGCGAAGGATGGTATCAGCAGCATCCTCCGTCTTCTTGGATTGCGACTGAAGTGTTCGCAAAGATTGGCACGTCTGAGAATGATCAACATGGCACCTGATCTCCCATCCATCCTGCGTGCGATATCCTCCTGCTCCTCAAAAGAAGAAGCAAGCCCTTTGTACCGCAGGTGTTCTATTGTGCTGTGCTGTTTCTTCACATACTCATGTTTCTCTTGCAACTGTTGCAAAACTATATACCACTCCAACCCATCCAAGAATGTCTGGCATATTTTTGTGTTCGGAGCATAAAGCATTGAAGCGCAAAAAAAAGTATATAGTAAATTTTGACAAATTCAGCTATACATTTACATCCAAGCAATCAATTCAAAGCACCTGTATAAAGTGTCCAAAAGGGCACCTTGGTTGCCCTGCTTCTGGGACGTAATGCTGTCTGACTTTGCCGCAGCGAGGACCTGCTTGCAGGTCTCAGAAGGTTTATTTTTTTGAATCTCAAGCTCTCATTTACATCAATCGAAACTCAAGTCGCTCGTATCATCTGCCTCTGTCAGGACTTCAGGAGCTATGCCTCCCTCGGATTCCGATTCCGGAACCCCAGTGTCAGCTCTGGCCGAGCCAAACTTTTCCTTGGGTGACACTTCGGGAGAATCGAGCAGTCTCTTACTCTTTGTAGGCTCCGCAGGCTCCGCAGGCTCCGCAGCATGCTCCGCGACTTCACGAGCCCGCAGAATCTCCACAGCCAGGTCGAAGTTGCCACTCTTTGCAGCCTGCACAGCACTTGGAAAGAAGAATGTGTGTGTGTGTGTTATTCCTTTCTTAAGGGGGGGTAGGCCGAGAAGAGGTAGTAGCTAGGTAGCTAGTAGAAGCAAAGGTAGCTAGTAGCTTAAGTAGTTACTACCTAGGACGCAGGATAGCTCACGCTTCTTCAAGGAAGCTCCCCCCGCTCGCACTATTCATTTTGGTTCCTAGATTTTTGGGAAACTTAACCTGCACTTTGAAGGCACTTGGCAAACATTTGGAATGGTTCAAAACTCTCCACTCTCAAGCGTCGCCTCACTCACCTCTTTTAGCCCAGCAGATGGAAACAAGGAAAGTAGTGCAAAGCGCAACTCTTTCTCATGGCTGGCAACAAATGGCATTGCAAGAGCAGCTGGTCAAGTTGAGCTGATGCGGGGATTGACATTCCATACAAAATAACGTTCATCATTCTTTTTATCCTGGCTTGTTCTGGGTAGGCGGCAACTGAATTTGAAGAGCGACAGCTGGAGGTCTACCACTCTGTGTGTACAGCGACGCGTGTCTGTCAATCATATCTGAATCTCATGGACTCATGAAATGAAGTGTTCTTTGTTACCACTGTGCTTTGAGACAAGGGGAAGTACTCGCTCGTCCACACGATGTTTGCAAGTCGTATGAGCTGTGACCGCAAGCGAATTCAGAGAGCAAAATTCGCACCTGACCACTGTCGATGAGGGCATTCTCATGCCGTCGCAAAACAGACCAGCTTGGAGGCCGGAAGTCTTGCATGGCTGCAGCTTCCTGCCAGGTGTGAAAAGCCAAGCCGCTGTAGAAGCCGGATCAACGACGCTGAGATCCCGGTAAAACCTTGAAAGGTGGTGAGCTAGGGTGAGCATTGCACAGGCCTGCTGCAGTTTCACCACTGTCACAAGCAAGGTGTCAGCTTCCTGGAGTATCAGCTCGTCTCTCATCTCGGAGAAAACAGCTAGGGCAACAAGAAAACGCCCAGGAGCTGCGGCGGGGACCTGCCTGCTGGCCAGTGCTAGAATGATCCTGGGCATGAGGTGCAATTCTGCAGTTCTCGCTTGAGATGCAAGTCTTGTATCATCTCTTGCGTGTATGCCCGGAAAAGACCTGTAAGCCTGCAGGCTACTTTGCACATTTAGTGAGTGACTTGGACAGGTTCTCCTTCGCTATGCTTTCCTGAGGCTCAAGCCATGGAGGTGCTGCGTTGCCCTGGACAAATCGACCAAACGAGCTTCCGGCGCGTCATCCCGACGCGTCTGCGTTCGTTCTTCCATCGCGGCGAAGAATTCGGATTCACTGAGGCTTCGTCTTTGATGTGACTGTGGAGTCATGAAAAGAAAGCTGTTTGTGCCTTATTGTCACAAGCAGTGCTCTTCAGCGCACAATGCAAACAATCTCAACTCGTTGCATGCCGGCACTTTGACAGACATTTTGAGGGGCGGTATTGCTTAGTGATCATGCATACCATTAATTTTGAGAGAACTTGTTGGCGCCCCAAGAGATGCCCACAAGCAAACAAGCTTGTGGGAAGACAAGCCCAAGACGTCTATATACAGTTACATGCAGGTACGTATCCGCATTACGTTGCGGCAAGGTCATTCTCCAACAAAATAAGCCTGAGCAGAGTTTTCGATGGAAGTCTCTTACAAACTGTACTATAGATACTGAAAAGGCAAAAAAGCTGTTTAAGTTCAAAATGGAAAAAGAACACATCACAACAATACTTTATACTTCAAAGGTACACTGAACCTTTTGACTGTCACTGTGCTTACGTGATACCGTGATACCCAGGTTGCACACTGCATTTGTGCAGACAAAATCTGCAGTGTGTCTGAGGCACTAGGACCTCCTTGAATACAGTGCAGGATCAACGGAACATGCGACGCGATGATGCAACTCTTTCAGCCAAGCGTAGTGATTCTCTGAGTTTCGAACCACTTCCGAGCCGAGTTCTAGTCCTGAAATCACGGAGCATTCAAAGCGGGTGGGCCATCAACAAGCAAAAGAATGGTTCGGAAGAACATCCCCCGAGAACGCTGAAGTTACAAGGCCTAAGTGAAAAGCAGTAAAAAGATTCAAAACAGCCACGGTGAAAAGCACACATGTACTCGGTCTCGGTGGAGACATCTCGGAGAGTATGCGAGTCATCTCCACCTCGGAAAGGCAGAACCAAGCTCTAAAGTGAATAAACTAAAGATAAAAAGTGTCAAAAGATAAAACAGCCAACAGTCTGACTCAACCTTATCTTTTAAAGACCGGGGGAAGGGGGGTAGGCCGAGTAAAGGAGGTAGTATGTAGGGGCAAGTAGCTAGTAGCTAGGTAGCTACTACCTAAAACACAGGATAGCTCACGCTTCTTCCAGGAAGAAGCGCTCGCACTAATGATTGGTTCCTAGATGTTTAGGGAAATCTCGCAAAAAGCCTGAAATTGCCTGCTGCAGCCCTGTGGCAATATCTCATCACCATGCTGTTGATTGACTTCGCACAGCTTCCAAACACGGGCCAGTTTTGTTCGAAAAATGCTGAAGCCCTCGCCTGAAATTGACACAGTGCTGGTTTCCCGTAGCAAACCCATTTTGGTCGGCCTGGTCACATCTGAACTTCTTGCAGTGGCCTAAAAAGCGCTGTAAAGACTACAATCATCGCCCAAAATGGACAGAGTACGAAGAACAAAGGTTGTCATCTGCCAGTGAACCTTTGGTTGACGTATCTCCTTCCATTGCGAAGAAGCATGAACTGTCCATTGATAGAGATGTGCCCACCATGACACTATAATGGGAGCTAAGGTGCACATCATGTACATCATACATTAAACTAATGCACATCCCATGCTCCATTAAAACTATACATAATTGTTCCTTGCCACGCATCTATTTTACACCAACAATACATGTCGGAAGCAGCTAACTGAGCACAACACAAAGCAAAAAAATAAGTAAACGGGCAAACAGGTAGCAAGGGTTAATATGTAGAGGTGACAAACCAAAATATTTACAATATATATATATATATATACAAGTTCCCTAACAGTATCAATGATCGCGTATTTTTGCATGAGCATCTGCCAGCGCTGCATGGCCTTGCTCTCAGGATTCCTATTGACCGTGCATCAAAGACTTGGCCGGCGCCTGTCGCCAGACTCCAGGCTGCTTGACCCAGTGGCCTTGTTGTCACCCGCCTGCAAGTCCAAACGTCACCAAAGGAAAGCACAAAACAAGTCGCTTGGTTGTTACTGTAGGGCAAAAGCTTCTGGCTTGTGTTGTCTGGACGGCTTGAGGCTTGGTTTCCTTCCGAAATCTGTCCCTTAAATAATTCAAAAAGCGTGCTGTTGCCCCACCACCTCCCACCAAGAAGCCATGCAACATGTATCTGGCAAAATCTGATTTCATTGGGCATACGTATTCAAATTTGGTCAGTTTGCTTCTGAGAACCATTTGTGTTCTCACAAGGCCTTTCACTCTCCCATAATCTTGCAAGCCACGACTTGTATGAGAACTGTGCAGCTGAAATGGTACCCGTCATGCTCTACGATCCTCATCTTGGCTCAGCCTTGATTGGCTTTCGATGAGTTCTTGGACATGTTCCACGCGAATGCACATGAATGAAAGCATCCTTCGTGTCAAGTTACAAACTAGCGTTGACTCAGCACCTACACTGGTAGATCATGGTAGGTAGAATCGAATTCTGAATGTATACAATTTGCAACTGCCACCCGAAGCCTGTGGCAATCATCTTGAGACAACAAACCCACACTGCTGGATGAAACCACTGCTAAGACTTTGCTCAAATGGATTTGTGCCACACAAAAGACTCTTCAAATGCATGAAGACGCCAGAAAACACATGAAGGTAATAATTATTGGGCATGATTGGTGCGGAAACATGTATCCTCTGGCCTGCCAAGTTTTGGACAACGATGATGGCCCAGGGGGGCCGCAGGGCAGACTTCAAGGCCCAGCGGTCCTGACAGAAAAAGAGCGATGTGGCGATGCGTGCCAAACCTGTGGAAAAGGACGGCTTAGAATTGCTCAGCTGAGCCCTCAGTATTGAGATTCTGAAATCCCATACCATGAAACTGCTAGCTCTTCATGATTGTCAAGTAGCTTTCACTCAAAAGTTTGCTCCATCTTTGTTTCAATCCTTTCGTGACATTGGCGGAACTCTTGCTAGATGAAAAGGCATCATTCAGTCTGCAGTACCCAGAAGGAAAGCATAGTCACACCTTGTCAAGAGTCTGGGTCACTTCAGGGTCGGATCTCTCCGTCACCCTGCAGCAATTGATAAAATCCGATGCTCCAAAAACAAGTGACCGTACAGGTACTCAGATTCAAAAGTGTCTCCTCAGACTTCTTTGTAGTTTCAATGTGTATAGAAAACACTTTTGTGTCGCTCTGAGTCGCTCCGGCCTTAAAGGCTCAATCTCATGTCCACTTCTGCTGCGGACACAAGTCCTCGCAGTCTTTGGAAAACAATTCGTTGTTCCCATCTCTTTCTGCAAAAAAAGATATATATATATATATATCGCACGGCGCCTGGCACCTCGAAGCCTTGGTCTGCTCAGCTCTCGAGAGACACCGTCCACCTCGAGACCGCCCAGTGCGAGACATGTGAGAGACTCTTTGCGGATATAACATGTGAGACACATACTTTGCTCTTTACGGATATGTCAAAGTATGATATATCTCACATACTGAAACCATGCAGAGTCACACGCACGTGACTAGCTCAGCGGTTCCAAAGAAAGCTTGCTGCGTTTGTTTGCTCTTCAGCTTCACAAAATGCGCCTCAATACTTATGCCTTTGCCCATCGAGTTGCCGACCTTGGACTGGCAGTGAAAGTGTCACAAAAAGAGTCAACTTTCGCTGGACCTATCTACAAAGAGGTTCAGAAACGAAACAAGTCCTGCATCAAGCAATCAACAAGACCCAATATGACATTCTAGCACAAAATTGAGATGCCCAAAATATTATGACAACATGCCAAGAAGCTAAGAGATGGGTATTGAAGTATCGACCCGAACTGCGTCCTGGGATGTCAAGGGCTTCAGGCTGTGCCCTTTGGGAGAACTCGCATCCTCTCTGACAGACAATTGCAGGTGCTTCACTTCCATTCTGTCTTCACCTCTGATTTGGTTTCAGTGGTGAGAAACAACGCAACGGCAGAGGAGAGACAACTGCAAACGACCAAGAGTGTTTTTGCACATGACAAAACAACGTTTTAAAGTAGATGCGGTATATGTTTCCACTTGCTGCACTTGCAACACCGAGTTTGGATGTTAACATTCACTATAACCACACATCACACCAGCCTCGACCCCAAACAGGTGAAAGCAAACTAGGTTTCTTTAAGCATGCGAGGGAAACAAATGAGACAAACTTTCACTTGCTTGTGAGATCCTCGTCCACTAGTATGGAAGGAGGAAGACAGGCAAGGCATCATGTCGTGACAGCTACCGGAGAAAAGCGGAGGGACATGAGAAGGGTGAGAGGCAAGACACCGCCACCTAGTAGCAAGACAACCCGTGAGACAGGAGAGGAGTCATGGCGTGACAAAGTCTATTTTTACGCAGGAATTGAGAACCCCAACAGTATCGGTGTTTGGGGAACTACAGCATAACAACCGCGCACAAGCTTCCCTCCACTTGCTCTACTGCGTATAAGTTTCGACGAGATTGAGATGAGGATGCTCTTGGGATGCTTCTCCTAAGCCCCAAGGCTGTGCATCCAACATGGCACGGGCAAAATCCTTTGAGAACACATGCTGCAAAAAAAGAACTGAAAAACTGATGTCATCAACTCATCAACCAGCGATGGCATTCTTCAAAACTCCAGAATGACAAACACGTTTAAAAGTCTTGCTCGCCCAGCCACTCTGGAGATTGAGACCTTCAGAATGCTCAACGGCCAGGGCCAGGAACCCTAGAGCCCTAGAGACCCAAACGAGGGACCCGAGCTACGGCTGAGCACTGGTGTTTTTCCGAGCTGTTTACTTAGCAGCTTTCTCAAAAGTTTAGTTAGCTCTTTTCAAGAACTTTGCAAACCCTTTGTTCCTTCCCACTCCAATCAAAGTCTACTTGATCAGACTGAATGATGCAATTGTGTTCCTCTGTCATAAAGTGGCCTTTCATCGATCTTTTTCCCTTCATGTGCAGACGGGACTGCTTTGCCTTGGAAGAGCGCTGTGATTCAAGCAGTGAACATTTTGTTCTGTGTTTAGTATCTCAACTACAGCTGAGGCTTAGGACTCCAATATGCCAGTTTCTTTTGCGAAAGTAGCTGCGGTACCTAGAACAGAACACCCTGTCCTTTTCGCGTCTTATGCAAATCAGGTGTCAGGAAAGTTAACAAAGAAACAAAAATCAGAACAGCAGCACGCACCAAGGACAACCAGTCCAGCACATCAAGACCTTCTCAAAATTGACTTAGTTTGCTTTGGTCGTTGGCACTGGCGCAAAAGCTCCGATCTGTCGACAATCCGTCTCGGTCAAGACATCCAGCCTTCAGAACAAGGCGGGACCATTGGCTTCAAAGACATTAACAATAAGTGCGCTGGAAAGACAAACATCAATCCCTATCCAAGCAACTGCCGAAAAAAGCTCATGCGCTTTCGGATCCGGTCAAGAGTCTCTTTGCTCAGCACGGAGTACCTTGTTCCAAAGTTCATTCAGTGTGGCGCAATTAAGGTATTCAAGAAAGGGTACATAACATGTTGAAACACATGTTCATCGGCTAGATTTGACCCTGACAAAGCTAAGAGCTCCGCCCTGCTTGAGCAAGATCCTCGTTGATGGTGTTTCGCATCACTGCTCGAAATAGCTCCCACACTGTGGTGACACCTTATGGAATGAAAACTCAAGCTAGTCTTAAAGGCCAGGCTGCCAATTGGCACAGCTGTGAGAAACAGTGAAGGACCTCTACGCATGAAGGACTCAACACTTGTGGAGCACGCAAAAGTTGGATGTAATTAAATATTCTCATCAATTGATCAATTAAGACAGGAACCAACAGCTTTCAGCTTATCCATCACACCTGAGCTAGAAGCTTTGAGAATGGAAAGCTGTTGAAAAAGAAAAGAGTGTAACCTGCAACAAAAATACTTGTGCAAGTCTTGCAGCTTTCTGCTGCTTTCTGCCGGCGAGTCACTCCGCACATTGCTCTTGCCATTCTTCTTCGGGAATGACCACTCCGGGCGAATCGCCTACAGGTCTGATGTCATAACGGAACCTTCAAGAAGCTCCTGTCCCACAGGCCGACAGTCGGAGCCTTCAAGAACTGAAGAAGCTCATTCTGCCCCTCCAACGAGTAGGAGTACATCTCCCGAGTGTCATCTCCACCTCAAAATGTGCGACGACTGAAACAAACAAAACTCATGCTCGGTATTGCCTAGGAAATTGAAATTTGGCTGCATTTACCATGCACAGTTTTGACAGTGAGGCCAAAGCGGTCAAGAATGTGTCCACTCAACCACTCCGCCGGCATCCGTGAATTGATGTGCAGTGCATAAATGGGCCTATGATGTCCAAATTGTCTCAGGATGTCTGCATTGACAACTGAGTTGGCTTTTGTTTAAATCACTCGATGATTTTGCAAACCAAATATTTAATCATGATGCTTTGTTTCTGATCTCCATGCCTTGCCTTTCAAAACGGGAACATCGGTGAACGTTGAGTCCAGCAGCTGCAAATGTTGGCAGGTGACCGGCATTCTTGGCAAAAGACGAATCAACACTCCTCTCCACTGAAGCAGAAGTGGCAAAAGCAAAGAGACTGGTCTTGGGCTAAATTAAAAGAGAAAAAGAGATGAAAGAAAAGAAGGTGAGGCCCAGGAGCCTTCCCCTTTTTCTTTCATCTGTGGCTTGTTCTTTCATTTAGCCCTCCAGTTGTAGCTCAGTATCTTTTTGTACTTTGAGACTTCATGGGCATCTGAACGCATGTCATTGGACATCCACGTCCATTCTATAAAACCACCGACCTGCGCAGTTTTGCGCAACCAAAAAGTGGTGAGACTGTGAGGCGGAAGCCCTGTGTGTTTTGTGAACATGCTAATTATGGCCATGTGCAGAGTTTGTTCAACCTCTCCAAACAGCCATATCTTTTGAACTAACCCCGAGTAGAGGAACCCTGTGGCATCAACCCTCTGAGTTCGGACTGTACCCTCGTCTCTTGTCATTGAAGCAATACTGGTAAAACCGATGAATGCTCTATTTCATGTCATCTTTTTCACCTTGTTTGAGATAGGTTTTTCAGAGAGGAGATGTAGGCAAACTTGTGGTCAAAGCGCACCTGCACCGAGACTTTCGCAACGTCAGAATCTGCGAGTATCAGCTTCTTGTGATACCAGACATGCCCCTGTAGCATTGCAACAATAGGTTGTACTGTATTCACAATTTCACAGCGGCAGCCTGCTCTCCAAAGGCCTTCTCCAGGAAGTTGTACTTGTCTGGACAGGAAGAAAAAGAACTGCAAAAAATCATTGTTATTGTTATTTGTTGGATTGTCTAGTCCATTTGATGAATTATATTGGAGGGAAAAAAACGTCCGCTCTCTCACTGCCAGCTTGGGCGCTAACTGGAGTTTTGGTACCGGCGGAATCTGGCAGCTTCCAGCTTTTCCTCCGTTGCCTCACATGGAAGTGCACGAATTTGCTTGAAAAAAGGCTTCTTGAAGCATCTTAGCATCTTGCTTGATTCATCTTCATTCTTTTCTCAAAAGTTGGAGGAATTGGAACAAGCTGAGCTCAGTGCCAGCGCTTGTCGATCACATTCAAGTTTCCTCTGTTCTTCCAACTGCTGCATCAGCGAGATTTGGATCCTTGTAATCCGTTTGCGGAAACATGATCTCTCCGAATTCCGGCACCGTCAGTCTAAATGTATGGTCTTCTCTGGAAGCAAAGTCCAGCTTAACTTTGCCGTAGTCTTGACTCTTTATTTTGCATTTCTAGACATCAAATTGGATGTCGATTGCAAATCTCGCACACGGACTCCTTGACTTGAGTTTGTCATTTTTCTGCGCTTGTGTCTCTGTCTTTTCGTTCCGTGCTTTGCCAACCTGGGGAAGAGCGCTAATAGCAGTCTATTTGCAAAATCACATCAAAGGTCAGCCTGCCTTTGTGAGCCGAGCAAGATAGGCCTCTTGGCTGGACTCTAGATTGGCCTTGGCTCTGTGCTCCTGCCGGATTCAGGTGTAAAGAATCTTCCCCAATCTGTCCCCAATCCTTCCAAAAAATTGCTGGCGATGAACTGAGCAGGTGCTGAGGACGCGGTTTTCTACTTAAGATTTTGATGTGTTCAGTCCACTATCACTATACGACTTGACAGTCCTCATTCCGAGCATGCCTGCGACAACGACGAACACGTTGTTGCCACACCTGCAGGCAAGGCCGGCAGAAGACAAAAGAAGCAGCACTTTCCGCAGCCCAACACAGTACAATGATTGGAACAGAAGAGGCTGTGTAACTTAACAAGAATGCTACCCTCCTACCGTGCTCGCGCGCATTGGACTTTGGACTTAGCTACCCCTTACTATGAACAAGAACTATATCACCTATCTATATATATATATATTGCTATCCAAAGAACGAACAAGTAAAGGCGGCAGGCTTTCAGGACAAAGATAACTTTCCAAAGCTCAACGATGAACAGAAACAGCGTCCCGACAGCCTTGGACGACATTTTCTAACTTCTCAACAAACCACGGATGGTGGACGAAGAAGCATGCAAGCATGTTCAAGAAACGGTGGAGGAGTTGGGGGAGAGAGAGGGGCAGAGAGAGGAGAGGGAGAGAAGGCAGGTAGAGTGGTGGAAAGTATATAATTCAAAGTAGAGGCGCTCGGATAGGTGGGGAGCCCCATTAAAGATGAAACAGGCCGGTCAAACACAAAAAGACTGAAAATACAGCGAGATCGGCATCGTTCTCATGTTCCCTGATTCTGTTTCAGCCCTGGCCAAGAAGCCACGGGAAAACTGCCAAGAACAGAAGAGCTCAAGTGCAAGATCGGTCTTGACCGATGGTATCAGAATCTGCACACAAGTCCGACTCGAAGCAAAGGAGCAATGGTACCAAAGCAGCGACCGGTCTGCAACGTATTCTTCATGCAACTACTGAAAGAGAAGAAATGGAGAACCGAAAGCAAAGGAGCGAGGAAAAGTGCACAGACTCATAAATAAGTGCAAGCAAAAAAAAAGAACATAGAACAATGTATGCTATCGATTAATCATCACAAGTCTGTCCAGCAAAGGCATCACACGCATCACCTGAGCGTCAAAATCCACATGACATCATTGTTTCAAGCACTTACTATCATAGTGCCTCCAAGCCATCAGTCACTCTATCTCTCTTGAGCTCCAGCTGCTCGTCCGCCATGTCCAAAGCACGCCTCTCAACCGACACAGAAACACAAGCTACCTCGCAACAAACACTGCTGGGCATGAATTGTCTGGTTAAGCTTTGGTAAACTGAATGCAATGCACTGGCTGGTTCAGGACAAAAGCTGCGGAGCGGTTGTCGTTCAGGCCTACAGAAGCTGCTGTTTTTTCAATGTTGCATTGCTCGGGGAGATAATGCTAAGCATGACCGAAGCTGTGTGTTTCCCTTTAAGGATTCTTAAGGCAAGAACGTGGTTGGGTTCGGGCAGCATGGCGACACAGGACATTCCTGACTTAAGTATCCCATGGGAGCTCTTGTTAGGGCGAGGTGTTGACCAATTATATACATTGTGGGTGTGCGTGGTGCTCGGCACTCTGTTAGCAACGACAACATTCACACAATGTAGTCTGTAATCATGCTACTCCTCATCCCTTCAATACACGTGAAGCTGTCCTTGTTCATTTGCCAGTACGGGTACTTGCTTGCAGCCCCAAAGAAGAGACCAGAGATGCTTCACTGCACTTCCCATGCTTCTACAGCCAATGAGAGAAGATGCAAAAGGGGAGATGGATGGGAAGGAGCACGGCACAAAAAATACTAATACCAGAATCAAGAAACCGTGAGACGAAATCAAATGAGGGATGATATGAATCTGGATCACTCAGAGGTGATTAATCAAAGTATTCAGACATTGTTCAAATTAAATGTAGACAAAGTGAGATGTCAGAGCGGAAGGCAAATCAAACTACAGAAACATAAGCTGCAGCAAGAAACAGGTGAGCCGATCATGAGATCATGAAAGCTGAATTGTTATATAAGTGGAATGAACTGGTTGGGTGTAGTGGCTGTTGAATGTTTCCGGATAAGAAGGTTCGAACGGAATGCGGTTTCCTTTAGAAGTTGTTATCCTACCAAATTCCACAAAACTGAATGAAATGTCTTGAGGTTTGGGTGACCCTTTCCTGCTTAAGTACATTCTCGCTGGAGTTTGGAACGTTGGAGGGCAACTTGTAGTGCCATGATGAAAGAATGTTGGGCACGTGAGTATCTCTGTTTGGAATCCCTGCCTCATCTTGCGGAGCTTGAACTCATCTAAAACCGCCAGCCTCTCCTGGATGAATAGCACGCACTGTGGAAAATGTATCTAAATAGAACCCAAGCAATCTCAAACACAGCTTGCGTTGAGCATCATGAGGGACTGCGGATGAAGTGGCCAACCCAATGAATAGGGTAAATCATTCATCAGTTTGTCTCCGCATCACCAGCAAGCCTGAACTTCAGCATCCCGGGCAGCTTTGCGCTCCAGTGCTTCAGCCATGCGAAGCTGGTGCAGCTCCTCGAGCAAAATACCCTGTTCAGTCAGTTGTTAGTTGTATATACCTCTACACAATGTGTGATTGAGACATCAAACACTACGTAGTCACTACATGCTTCCGAGACCCTCTCGGTTTTTATGCAAAAATGACTTCAAATAATCATAAGGAACCAAACATTTGCATTGGCTCCTTGTATTTGGATTGCGTTGATTCGTAGTCTCGAATCTGCTGGCTCACCTCAAATCCACAAAAACCCTCGAGCCTACAGGAGGGATCACACCTTCCTGTCTGCAAATAAATTGTGGTATGTTGTTCATATTGACCACATTGAATCTTCAGGCGAAACCTTGAAGGCATTTCGTACCATGCGCTCTTCAGCTGCAAGTCGACGAGCTTCCAAGATCTGAGCATCTCGCTCCTCGAACAAAACAAGAATCGAAATGCATTTTGTCTACCCTCGAAACACACCTCCGACTTCTCCTCTTTCCGTCGATGCTTCTCCCAAACCTTTCGCATGGTCGGAGAAGCCCGGTCATCTCGGATTGGCTCTCGAAAGCTTGAGGTGGAAGTCCTAAGCTAAAAATAACCAACTTACAATGTCCCTGGTCGAAAGAAAAAAACATAATGGTGTCAAAGCGCACCGCAAATTGCCAAGGACCGAGCGTTTGCCAGTCAGCAGATGGCAGGCTAGAAATGCTGGATTGCATCAAGTTGGTCATTATGCTGACTCCTCAAAATTAAATAAAGGCGTGCCGTTTATGAGCAGCAAATGTGTTCTTTATTGCTGACCTACACTATAGACACAAACCTACATGATGTTTTGTTCATACGGAGCACAAAGATGTTGAATCTGCATTCAGGGGTGCACCACTGCACCACTTTCTTTTGGTATTGGTTCCCAAATTTTGTTCTGATCCCCTGAAGGATCGCAATCATATCAAACCAACTATATAAATTGAAATACATTCATATCTTGTCAATCGCTTGTCCGTACATTTGTTTTTGTTCTGGTTCCCTAGTGAAACAATTTGGTGGCCTTGGTCATTTGTTCACCAAGGAACTGCATCACCGGTCAACAATGTTTAGAGTTCAAAAACCCGTTCGGTGGTTCAAGGTCAAGGCACCTGTGTCTAAGGGGTTGAAAAGACTGGATGTTATGGAAAAACGACGTTTGATAATTTTTGAATGAAAAATAGGTGCACTCTGCATATTACAGTGCAGTTGTTTTTGCTGAAGCCAAAAAACTTTGGAAAGTGAATCGTCGGCAGTGTGCCTACAACAAACCAAACAAAAAAACATTTGCACGCAAGCAGAAAAGGAACAGTCAACACGGCATTCAAGAATGTCCGAAAAAAAAAATAGACTCAGTAACACGTGTCACTTCAATTGTTGCAACTTGTTTTGCCAACTGCAAACAATACAAAAATCAATTTTCTCAACTTCTTGACATGTCCAGCAAACGCCTCTTTGCAACCTTGCAGCAGCAGCACTCTTGTAAGACACTCTTGTGGAAAACTCTTGTGGGACCTCTTGTGGGGCACGTTTGTGGAGCACTCGGACGCTTTTGCGGATCTCCTGTCGAACACTTTCGCGCGACACTCACTATGGTGGTGGGACATTTTTGTGGCACACTCTTGCAGGACACTCCTCCACGAAACTCTGTGACACACTTTTGTGGGACACCCTTCTCTTGTGGGCACCCTTGTGGGACACTCTTTTCACCAGCTGTTTTCCACCCGCGGGTGGCACGGACTCACGCAAACACAGTTTTCACCGACGACGTCACGCAAAACCGCATGACACAGCGACATTGGCAACACGTTGTGCCAAATGCAACCATGCAACTTGAAACACCCAGCCTCGCGCACGCCACGTTTGCACCAGGACTTTGGGACTCACGCAAGCACACTTTTCCCTGACGCCGCACAAAACCGAACGGCCCAGCGGCATCACAGACGGACTTGGGCCACACGAATCACACCAACGTTGACCGCAAACACTTTTCTTGGTCCAGGTCCAAGTCCACACAAGTGTGAAGTCATGCAGCCACAGCACCCACAAAGGACTGGAGACCGTGGGAGACAACTGGGAGACAAGTGTAAAATCGTGCAGCCAGAGCACCCACCAAAGACTGGAGACAGTGAGAAACAAGTGGAGACCAGTGGGAGACAGATGTGCAATCATGCGGCCAAAGCACCTGGCGCACCGTCAAGGTCCGTCTGCGACGTCGATGGGCCATGCGGCTTTGCGCGGCGTCGATGAAAAATGCTGGGAGCATTGAAAGCACGGTGGTGCAAATGCGTGTTGCTGGGAAGCGGGATGATGGGCGGTGCACGCGAGACTCCGTGTCATTGATGTTCTCCAAACAGGTTCACTGTGGGAGCGAAGGTTCTTGTTTCTTTTGAAAGGCCGCACAATTGCATTTGTCTCCACTTCCTGCCACACTGTGGTTGCTGCACCTGCGCGGATTTGCATTTGTTTTCCATTTGCCTTCCACTGTCTCCAGTACCTTGTGGATTTCATTTTCTCCACTGTCTCGCACCAGAAGGTTTCCATCCCAGCCAAGCAATGCCTGGCTCCTCTTCTGTGCGATGCACGACACACCCAAATCCAGTGTCAGCTTCAGGGCACACCAAAGCTCGCGAGACGCTGTCCACTTCTTGGACAACACCAAGAACCAGGAAAGCCATGTCTGTGGACCAAACACGGCAGACAAAGCAAAATGCATATTTTCCATCAGCACAGCGCTGACGAGGTCACACTGTGATTCGTTTCTCTTCTCCAAATCACAGGTCCGACGTCACAAGCACAAGCTGACCCACTCACAACTTTGATCAAGTGGCGATGCCTTTTGACACCCATGGTCAACAACAGACCAATGTCCAGCTTAGACGCGGCAAGTTCCGGTGCATCCCTCCACAGCATCCAAAGAATCTCTCTCAAACATTGCTCAATCTTTCTCGCCGGGTTCCACGTCGGGAAAGATGAAAGCTCAACATGAGCAAGCGCTCGGTCCTCTTCCTGAAGTTCTTCAAGACGCGGAAGATCAGCATCGCTGGATGTCATGACTCTAGCTGAAACAAAGTCCAAGTCTATGAAAGGTGAGCTGGTCGACTCCAAACGCAACCAGTCTCATTCTCTCGGCGGAAACTCGAAGCATGCTTTGAGACAGCCACGCTTCAGTTGTGGTGAAGTGCGCCATTCAGCCTTGAAGCCACCGAAATGCAAGCATTGTGGCAGGCCACAGTGCGAGTGACTGCTGGGAGAAGTTCCCCAAAAATCGAAGCTGAAAGGAGCCAAGGACTTTCCAAAGGCCAAGGGCTACGGCAAAGGTCGTGGCGACTTCGAACACTGAGAGCGTCAGTCTTCCTAATAAACCAGGTTAATTAGGTTCTGAAAGTATTCTAGTAGGGATTTGAAACTCCAGCATTTCATGTCCACACCGTGATCAGTGCATGACCCTTGAGAAGAGCGGCGTGATGACAGCGACCGACAACGATTCGATGGTCCTCCCGGGCCCCCAAAAAAATGTTCCATTCCAAATCCCCAAAAGCAAGCAACCTTGACATCCATGACAGCAATCAAACTGCGCACGTTGCACATACAATCTATGCTACATACGTATGCATGTCTGCGCTTCAATCACATAGATGATCTAATGATCTAATCCTCCCTGATCCATTCCCTGCTTTTGTTTCAATGATCTCACGCGTACTTGCCACGCATTGTCTGGTTATCCAAAAAATCCAATATGTTCACACATAAATGCACATAAACACATTTGAAAACACTTAAGCACACATTGTCAACATATTTTCACGCATTTTCAAATTTTCAATACCCTAATTTTCTGAGACCTATCTGATCTAGACCTTCCTGATCCAGTCCCCGTATTGTACGAGCCAAGTCCGGCAACATAACCGTCCTCTTCACGCCCGTTCGCTTGCAGGCTCCGCACCCATCGACCACCATAAGCACGGTAATGGTTTGGTCTCTGATAGTAGTACTTCTTCCATTCTTCCTCAGAATACCTGGTGGGGCTTGCATACCGCACCTGGCCACCTTTTGTCATGATGTTCTCATAGGACTCAAGGGGACGCAGCAACTCAACAGGCTTGAATTCTCCTGCTGGGTCCTTTTGACACCACGACCCAGCTCGTCTTCATCTGGCACCTCAACAAGCAGCGCAGGAACCTGAGGCTTTCCTTTTTCACTGGGTGATCCAGCCATAGTCTTTGGCGACAATTCCATCACCGCAGGCTTCAAGACTTTCAAGACCCCTGAGGAGCAGTACTTTGGGAACCTCAGGTCGCTTTGCTGCCTCCATGTGGTAGGGCAGGAAAGGATCCTTTGGATGTTTCATGTTTTGCCTACGCTACAAACTGTGCTAGATGGAGAGATAGATAGATAGATAGATAGATAGATAGGCGAGCACTTAACAAGCCTAAGGAGGCAAGGCGTTCAAAGAAATGAAGCTAAGCGTTACGCGGAATAACCTAGCGTCAACATGAACTCTGAAAGTCACAAGAAACCTTGACAATGCAAGTGCACAGAAATCACTCACAACCAAACATCCCGCGCCTCAATCACGGCCGGTCCATGGTCAAAGACGAATGCCTTATGAGCAATGATCGAACTGCAACCGCCGAACTCTTGGAACACTCCAAAACCAACCCGCGGGCGCCAGCCCTGCAATATTCCCTTCAAGGGAGGGCAGGGTGGGCCATCAAAGCGCAGTAGAGCCTGTGCTCACGGCGGACCAAATGTTCGTCCCGAACTCGAAGTGAATGCATCATCTTGCAGAACAAATCGAATGCAAACTAGTTACTCAGAAGGCACAAGGAATCGAAAGTTCGAACCGCACAACTGAACAATTTGTTCATTTAGGATTCGAGAAGTAAAGCGAAAAAGCAATCGAGATCATCAGGATGACCATTGGCCAATGTTTTCCCAACTTGCAAAGGAACGCCAACCCCAAAGCAGTTGGCACAAAGAGAAGGCCCCAACACGCGGCACCCAAGTGAACCGCGAACAAGAATGCCACAAGGCGCCAAAGAGCCCACCCGCCCACCCAGCACAGTTTTGCGCATTGTCATCCCGGGCACGCCCAGGAGTACCTACGCTACAAACTGTGCTAGATAGATAGATAGATAGATAGATACATAGATAGATAGATAGACAGACAGATAGATAGATAGGCGAGTTCTTTTTGCACGGTTGGAGACGCCATGTGTGCAGAGGTTGCACAGGTCATCTTATGCTAGTAAAGAGAGAGTTACAATTCAGGTTGCAATAGAAGAAACACCGAGCACCGACAGAGGACAGAACCAAAACAACAAAACCCCCAAAACAACCCAACAACCAAACAAAACCAGCCCCCAAGAACCGACTGCAACCTGGCGCGCAAGCCATGTCAGCCAAAATGAGAGAAGGTGAGACAGGGGCGATGAATTCAGCCTTTGCGCTCAGTACGTCATTACCACAAAGAGGTTTTTTGATCAGCATTCCATCGACAGAGCGAATCCTTTGGGTGGAGACCTCTGTTGCCGAAGTGTCATGCATCTTGAAAGAGGTCACATGGGGCGAGTACCGTGTTGAGAGCATTGAAGGCTCTGGGGTGTTTGACAGACAACAATCGAAGCAATCGAAGCATGCATCATGGGACTTCAGGTAGCTTGCAAAACAGTCGGCAGTCGATCAGGTAACATGGGAGGCTCAGAGGAAAACCACTGTACCAGCTTACTTCAAATTGTCGAAAGCACAAGTGCAGCGAAGCCAAGACCATGTAGTATTGAGAGCGCGAGCATCATGCCGACAGGGCCAACTCCCCCCCAAGGGGAGGAGAGTGCGTGATAAAAATTTTCAGCCTCGAAAGTCCTACTGCTGCCTTAATTTGGCGGTAGGAGATAATCCATGCTGGCACGTCGAACTTGTGGCACTTCTCGAAAGCGTTACTTTCGACATATGGTCCTCTCCATGTTGTTTTGTCGTTCATTTTGCGCAGTCTGCTGAGTTGTGTGTTTTTTTTAAACGAGCGCGGACGCCGTGTGGGCGGTGTGCCCAGGTCATCATGATAAGGATGGAAACTCTACATATTGGTAAGGGGAAAAGAACGAGCAGGAAAACAAACACCAACCCAAAAACCCCACAAAGCCAACCAAAAACGACACCGGAAACCCCAACAACCGATGTGGGCAGAGTTTCGCACTGTACAACGGTGAGACATGTGAAACGTGAATTTTTTTTGCACGGGTGGAGGCGCTGTGTGTGCCGAGAGGCACAAGTCACCTTGAATGATTTAAATAGGAGTATATACTAAGGAGATACGAGCCAGACACCAAAACAAAAGGTACAAAACAACAAGCCCAAAAAACACAGAAACACCCAAACACCCAAACCGAACAAGCCGGGCTCGTATCTCATCAGGGCTGTCAGAGCCGAAGCGACTGTCTTGAGAGCGAGGTGAAACGGGGCATTGAATTCATTCTTCTGAGGATCAGGAGGTAGCGAACTTCCTTTTTGCGGGCAGTGAGTACCTGTGTAGCGATATTGGTGCTGACCAGTCAGCATCAAGGGTGTTCAAACGTGTGCAGGAGTGAGGAACATTGTCATCAGAATCTCTGTGCCAAGGCGAATCATGACTTATATCCAAGAGCACAACTTTGCCTCAGGCGGACTCAGTGTGTTCCAAGTTGGCCTCGTCAATCTGGCACTTGACGGCACCAGTTGTTTGCTTCCTTCAAGCGCCGGATGCATGATTTGCAGCACACCCGATTGAAACAGGGGATGGTCATCTCTGTTTTCGGCTCACTGTGTTCAAAATCCCAAGGAAAGTCTGCGAAGAGCACAATTGCTTGAGCACGATTAACTCAGCACTAAGGGCTTGTCGTGGGAGAGTGATACTCTGAGGAGTCGATTGCCAAACTGACAAAGTCATGACCTGCCGAGGACATAGGAGGGGATGAACCGAGACAAACGGTCCCCCCACCCAAAGGGGGGAGGTAGTGACAAAAGTGCGCACTGCGACAGCGGCTCCAAAATGGCAAACGGGAGCGACAATGACGAAGCGCCGCGAACTTGCGTTGCCCTCAAGGATTTTTGACAGGCAGGACTCTGTTGGCAAGCCTCGACAAAGCTCAGCGTCTCCGTATTGCAATTCGAGCGCTCTTGAATCCGTGAAAGCATGCACGCCCCATAAACTACGTGAAACAGTGAAACGCCGCTATTCCTAGTTTGAAGAACTGTACATCTGTACTCTTCCACGACCACCTCTTGGGAGGCAGCCCTGGGCGCTGTCTAGCAACTCAGTGTAGGCAGCAGTGTTGGCAGGTCTATTGGCAGGTATGTGGTTTGCGTAGAACCCGCATGCGGACGCAGGTCTGCATGGTCAGGCTTCTCTGCAGTTCGATTCTGCGCAGCTTCTCATGAAGTCAGCCCACTCTTCATGGCCATCAGTTGGCTTGGGGAGGAGCCGGATCCATTTTGGGAGTGCGAGTTGCATGCACGACTCGAATGCATCGTGCACTGCGTAAGTACCTCTCCAAGTTGTTTTTCTTCCCACTTTGATGAGCGCGCACAGCTGTGTACAGCCAGCAAATGCTTGTTTGTCGATAAAGAGCAAAGTGGGTGGGGCGTGTAGTTCACCCAGGGAGGTGCAATTTAGGAGGGCGTCTCGCCCAATGCGCCTCACTGCTTTGGCCAGTCGGAGCTGCTGCAGCTGTGAGCAATGTGCAAAGGTACCCCCCAAAATCTCACTGATTTCGGTTTGTGAGATGTCAACTATCCGCAACCTTTTACAATGCTCGCATGCCGCTGGACCCATCCAGTTGAAATCTGCTGGTAAAAATAACGACTCTATTCCTGCCTCGAAAAAGCAACCCTCGGGTATGGAACGAATTCAAAATGGTGGGATCGTATTCCGTTCTCTCAAAATTGCGTTGCTGCAAGGCGCTGCATTTTTCGAAGGCTCGCGGCCGAAATCGCGCCTGGCGCCAGCTGATTGACTGTCGTGCTTTGATCCCCAATCTGTGCTAAGGCATAGCATTCTTCGAATACCCAGAGCCCAAAGTATTTGCACCCTGGGGCTATGACGGTGTGGAGTACATAGTTCCGGCGGAAGGCTCCATCTTGCAGGCAGACTAGCCAGGCCGCTTCGCCAATGGTTTGTATTCCTGCTTCTACTTGCACATGCCTCACATCGATCGCGTGCGTGAACGCATGGGGTAACACACGACCCGTCCGAATTGGTGGTACTCGAATTGCTTTGGCACTTCTCTTCAGTTGCCCTTTGTGTTCGGCTTGACTGAAACATTGTCGGACCACAAGGTTGAAGCGGTTACAGTCTCGGAGAGTATCCCAGATAGGATTCGCCAGGATTTCTCCAGTGTCTTTGTGGACAAAGGCTAGCTCGCTCCCAAAGTGCTGTGCCCTCCAATGGTCGGGAGCTGCTCGAGGACGGCAGTTTCAAACTCGTCTAACCGATCAAACTCTTGGAGATCGATTTTTTGCACGAGTCGAGGCGCTATGTGTGCAGGTTCTGCACAAGTCACCTTTGTCGAGTTAAGAGGGAGTTACATCAAGCGAAGGAAACAAAACACCCAAAAAACACCACAACATAACCAAACCCCCAAAAGCGGAAGCAACCTGTTGCGCAACTCGTGTCAAACTCTTGGAGATCGATGACGACTTGTATTTCTTCTCCAGAAAGGGTTGTCAGCATGAGTTGCAACACCAACTGGCGTTCATTGATGACTAGCGAGCTCGTTTGTGACCAAGTATCACCCACCATTGCGGCGACCTGCAAAGCTCCCACTTGAGATTTGAGCCTCGTCAGGGGTATTGCCCCTTTGAGCCTTCCTACCACAACCGGGGGAGCAGAGGGGGCAGACTTATGCCCAGTACCCATTCCCCGCCTGGCAATGCCGAGGGACAGCTACTTGGGAGCCGTTCTTGCTCTCTCTGGCTTTTCACTTCCGGACGGTCGCTGTCGATGGTTGTCTCGGCGGGATGTAGTGGAGCCACTTTGGGGTGGCTTAGCTTGACACATTCCTCGAAGGCATTGAAGGCGGCATAAGGATATCGCCTCTAATTTATTCCTAGCGTAACCCAGGTGAGAAAGCTCGGCACAGTTGCCAAAGACCCCATACCCCACATATCGAATGCTGCCCGGGAGCGTCAGGTTCACCAGACATTTGCAGCCAATGAAAACCTCTGCTCGGATCTCACGCAGGCAGGATGGCAGTTTGACTGTCTCCAAGCTATGACACTGTGAGAAGGTGCGCATGTGGAGGGCATGGATTTCTGCTCGAGATGTCCACCAGGATGAGCAGTTTGCAACTCTCATACGCCCGGTGACCAATGAAGCAGCATCACTGCCCAACTCCACCTGTCGAATGCCACTGGCGTAGAATTTTTTT